CTGTACGCGACTTTCCCTCTTCCCATTCCCCCGCCTAAGTCCCAGGCCCTGCAGGGAGAGGATGCAGAAGGCAAGTGAGACCAGCTCCTGGTGCATGCCCTAGGCTTTGTGCACAGCCCGTCCGCGCCGCTTGCAACCTCCCTGCTCTCCTGCCCAGGGAACGGGTGAGGACCGTGCGTGCGGGCACCAGAGCCAAGCGTGGGCACGCCAACAACACTTGTTTGCTCTCCATCTGTCTGAAATGTACACAACCCTCCAAGCTCTTAGTGGTCAAGGAGATCTCAGGCCAGGGGCTGTAGCACAGTAGAAGGGGTCAGAATCGAACTCACCAGGTAGAATGGGAATGAGAACCAATCCCTGTGACCTCCAGGGGACTGGTGAAGGTTTTTGAGATGTTCATTGGAAATTTGGAGGGGTCTGCTGAATGTTGTCTGGATGAGCTGCCAGGACAAATATTTCTGAAGAAGGCATCTTCTAAATTTCTGTTGGGTGACAAGACAAAGAGACAAACACAAAATTTCTTGTGAGGGCCTTTGTGCAGCATGGCTTTTCCATCACTGCAGTCATCTGCCTGCTGAGGGGAAATTTCACAACTATCTTCCACTAAATGAGGCATTTGTGATGAAGTGGTCAGCCTTTCTTGGGACCATGTTCCCATATCTGCAGAGGCAACAGATTTGTGACTCAGAAATAATGTCTGAAAGAATTAGATTTTGTTTTAACTTCAGGATATTTTTTTTCCTAGCTGTGCCACTTGAAGAAAGAGTAATTTGCATGAAAGAGATTTCTTCTTAGTATAAGAAAGTAAAATACTCCCCAAAGTGACCTGCTTTAGAAATATTAAACAGCATTATACATAAGTGTAAATGTTCACTTAAAAGTAATCTCGACTTTTTTAAGTACAGACAATCTAGTGATAGGTGCCTTGAATAAAAGTTCCTGAAGTACAGCCTCTTTGCAGGCAGCAAGTGGGACAATGAGGGAGCAATCTGTTGAGAAGAAACAGATTGAAAATGGTATATGGTATCTGTACAATAAAGACACAGGCATCTGATAAATGCATCTGTTTCTCTGTTTCTATGTGTGCACCCCAGAGGGGACGGGAGAAGGAGAAGGCGTTTCAAGAAGCAGTGCTTGGTTTGGGTCAGTGATACTGTTTCAGGTTGCGCTACCTCTGCCACAAAATTATCGGTGTGCGGTTGTGAGATGGGTGCTGGATGGAAGCACAGCGTGCACCCACTGCTCTGTGCACAGAAAGCTTTTCCTGGCTCCCACCCTGAGCGGAGCAGAGGGATGGATACAACGTGGTGCCTCCATTAAAGGTTGGGGACTTTGGCACGCTGAGATGAATGCCTTGGTTACGCCGTTTGTCGTGACGCAGAGTCCTAATATCTTAAGTGGAAGATCATTAACTGAAACTTTACTGCAAATATTGGACAAAATGAGCTCAACACATTATTCTTTTGCATGGGTTGTGTCAGTGCAAAGCCACTAATTTTCTTTAAATAACAGAAGGTAATGAAGCCAAGACAGAGATTGTCCATCTATAATACTGCAGGAGTTTATTTTTCCTTGCTATTAAAAGCTGCTGAAAGCCCATTTTTTAGCTTGTGTGTTATTTAGCTCACGTGAACCAGAGTGAAAGGAAATGTTAGGCAGATGTCTTAGCTGCACTAATAGGATGGTTGAAATAAATGGAGAGCAAACCTGCTAGTTCTTAATCACAAAATAATGTACCTGCCTCTCCCTGTGCTGCCGGCACAAATCTCTTGGTAAGAAGTGTTACTGAGAGCCCTGTGCACTCTTT